CTAGTCTGACTTCTTCCAGCTAATTGCGGGCACATCTGCTGCATGATTTGTACCTCTTACTTGTCTTCCACAGACTGGCTATAACATGCCATGCCTTTTCTGACTCTGCTAGGGCTCTCATATCATCCAGCAATATGGGGATTTGCTCTTGAAGGCATTTTAAAAGCTTGAGTCCTGTTTCATCGATTCTGGGTTCTCCAGGGGGAAAGGTTTAAGTCCTAATTAGTTTGTATTTATGATTATTATCTTGCGCAGCATGTTTCGAAGTGAAGAAACAAGAATATAGTTCTAGAAGGGTGTGGTTGGCAGCAAAGAAAACCTCTTGTTACCTTGGGAAAGAAATCAGTTCACTACCTCCGTGCCTCCTCCTCATTACTGTTAATTATTAACAAGCAACGTGTTCCCAGTGCAGATGCTGAGCTGGTCACCAGGTGGCTGTTGTAGGAATACGGCTTAGAATCAGCTGTGTATTGCCAGTGTTTTGTTTTCTTGCAGCTTTTGTTTTACAGAAGGATATTCAAGAGGACCTATACAAGTACCTCCCGCAACGGGAGTTAAATTCTAGAGTTCTGTTTCCAGTCTGTCTCCTAATTCCTACAGCTGACACCCATTCATCACTGCTATGCAGAACAGGCTAGATTGGAGAGGTGTTTGCCTGGGAGCTTTTGCTCCTCTGACAGCCTCTTAAAAAGTCAATTGAGAGATTTGGTGGGGTTCGTTCCTCAGACTGGCATCCAGCTGACAGTGGGTTGTCACCCTAGTATTTTTCTGTGATGCCGTTGGTACTGCAAACAGCAGCAGTAAGGGCAGTCAGTGGTCAGTGCCTACAAAGTAAACACGCATGTATTTGTATACATTTAGTCACTTTCGCAGCAGAGGTCACACACAGATACTTATTAATGCTTCAGTCTCTCCCCCCTCTGAGCTTTCACCTGATACTGTCGTCTTTCGCATTAAATATAAGCAGAAAGAGTCCAACAGAAAGAGATGATACACTGAAGCTTTAATGCGTCTTGGGGCTGAGAACAAAGGGGGGGGGGGGGGGGGGGGGCTGTGAGAGACCAGAGCCGGGCATCGATGGGCCAATGAGCCAGCGGGGGGAGCGGGTGCCGGTGCTGGCTGGATTTTACCAGGGGAGGGGAGGGGAGGGGAGGGGGAGAGCCAGTTGATTTATGCCTCATATCCAAGTGGGAATGAACACCGCTCTTTTTGTCAGTATCATGGGTAGACTGATGGGGATTTCCCTGCTGGAGTACAGAGACACTGGGTGGTGCTGGCCTTTGTTTGATGGGGAGGGGATCCCAGCAGACTGATAACTAATGTTGATCTGGGAGGCCTGATGTGAAAAACAAATAGCAGATTTCACAGGAGCTACTGAAGAGCTCTGAGCATGAAAAGGCTTGGCTCTTGGTGCCGCTGCTTGGAATGTACCTAGAATGTGAAGCCATGAAATGGGCTTAATGCAGATCAAATGTGCAGGTCTCATCAGCCTCAGAGCACAGCGGGTTATCGCAGAACACACCAGCTGCAAGTGATAAAATGGCCCTTCAGTGGCAATAATGATGGAAGAGGGAAATGAGGGGAAAGCTGTAACTCTTCCTTTGTTGTTGGTTTTTTTTGTTTGCATTTAAGTGAATTGTCCCCTCCATAGTTGTGACCCATGGTTGGTGGGAGGGGTGGTCCAGATAATCAGGGTGACTGTTGTGCACAATCAGGTGACTGTTGTGACCTGGCACGACAATGTGACAAGTTTACTGACTTCGGGCTTGTCCAAATGAGATGTTAGCTCACGGCAAGCCTGGGTGTTAACTTACTGCCCGGTAACATCCTGTGTGGACGCTGCTACTGCACACTGAAAGATCCACAGTGCCCTTCAGTGCATGCACGTGAAAGAGGCTCCCCGTGGGACGTTACTTGTGGTAAGCTTGCACTGGAGAGCCTGACACTGACCTGCTGTGCATGAGTGTCCCGGGCAGACAAGCTCTTATCTTTACCTTGTTTTCAGTTGCTGCACCGCCCTTGCATTCTCCCCTTCTAGACTCCATCTACTTCCCTTTGCTGGGGGAGGGGGAAAGATTGGAAAGGGCATGAC